GATGTAAGCGTCACGTAAAAAATTAGTGACCACCCGCTGTTTGTTTTTTATTTTTTATTTTTTTCGCTGTTCTCTGATTTCTCTTTTCTGTTTTTCCATTTTTTTTTTTTTGTTTATTTCTCTGATACCACCCAAGGTGTCCGTTCAATGTGCGTTTTTGGCACGCCCTGAAATGGAATTCTTTTCATCGGATCGCACTTCTATTCTTGGGTAAATTGTTTGCACACGTTCTATGCAAACTTTAAGCATGATAAATGAATGTGGATGATTTTTGTTCTAGACAATTAACTTTTGCCTTTTCACAGAATTTTTTATTGAAATGCATTTTCCATTTTCCACCACCGCGCACGCGACTCGCAACGAACGCGATTCGATCCTGCGCTCTGTAAAATCTCATAAATAAAGCAGTCAATAATTGTAGGGATAGCTAGGTAGACTGATATATAAGTAAGCCCGCATCCCTCAAAAAACTGGACACAGTAGCAGAGTTTTTTTTGTTGACAGCTTCCACAATAACTGAAAAAATTGAGTCATAATCGATAGTTCAATTTGACAGCAACTAGAAACTAACTCGTATTATGGGTATTATTTGAGTTTTTCTTATTTGTTTTTTTTTTTTTTCTCGCGCTGACAGGCACCGCCATAAATTGTCAATCAAAATCGTAATTCTTTATAATTTCTAGCCATACCCCAAACATAAGTCAAAGCCCAGGGCAACCCAATCAGCGTCTGTCTCCTTCTACAACTTTGACGTTTGCATTGTCGTCTTTTCAATTCGGAGCCAGAGCCAGAACCGAGCTCTGCAGCCAATTTGTCGGGATTTTGGGTACCAGATAAGCGGCTTAGTTGGGTTATAAATGGAAATTGCAGCCAGGGCGCGTTTCTGTTTATATAAGATGATGATGATAATGAGAATGATGATGGCGATGCCGACCATCGACCGTCGTCTTGATGACGTTGCTTGCATGCGATTTGAAAAATCAGATTAATAACTTCGATTGCACTCGGTTGTAAAGAGTAAAGAGTAGAGAGAGAGCAAATGAGCACAGAGTAAAAGAGCGAAAGAGGAATCAAGTGTCGACAAAAGTGAAGCAAGGCTCAAGTATTTTCTCCACTCTACCTGATAATTGGCTCACGTTCCAGGTAAATACTCAGCGCATATGCGTTGTGACGAGCTCCGGGGTTGGGTGGGGATTGAGGTTGGCGTAGCTGTCGCTCTTAAATACCTGCGGGTGTGTCTGTGGATTTTAATTAAAAATTTTCACTGCGCTTTTGCCATCTGATTTTAACAAAGCCAAACTTGCAGATAGAGTATCAAGTGGATTTCGTCTACTATTAAGACGAGGAAAAAAGCAGTAAAGAGGCACGCCGTACAAAAATACTTAGAAAGTATTGAAAAGGCTTTATGGAATATCAAAGCTTTATTAGAAATTTTAAATGTAGAAAATATCTCGAAAAAAATACATTGCCAGAACAAGGCGTATTTATACCAGAAAATAAAAATATAACAAAACGCAAAATAAATAAAACCTATATCCAGTTCATATTTTGGATATTCCCTTGGCATGGTATGATGAATTGGGTTCAAAAATACTATTCAGAATATTCTATATTGTAGTTGCATAAAACAGCAAATGTACAAAAAAAAGGTATTATATTGGCAAGGGCATACCAAAAAATGTAATATAATTCTAAAAAAAAGTGTAGCTCGTTTATTCGAATTCTATACCGAAATACTCAATGTTTGAATAAATGTTTGTTTGCAACAGTTTGTTTTATTACAAACTACAGCATGATATACCACGATAGACAGCTTGAAACTACAAAACAATTTCAGTAATTAAACATTATCTAAATTAATCCACTTTGGCTGCCCATTCATCAGAGCTGGGCAGTGAAATAAATGGAAACGCTGCCCACTTCATTCAAACAAAATTAAAGTTTTATCACCAACTTGGGAACTGGGCGCACACTCCCAAAGACACACACACACACATACATAAACCAATCAATGGGCACCAGCATCGATCCGGGCCTAACACACTGAAAAACTCAATGACCAGATAAACAGCCACGTCTAAATTAAGAAATTAGTACCAAATAGAAAACAAATTAGGAAAGGGTCCACAACTCAGTCCCCAGTCCCCCGTTACCAGTTCCCAGTTCCCAGTCTTCAGTCTGTCCAGGCCAGCGCAATAAATGGCAGACACACGCACGTAGCCGGACCATGAAATGAAAATCAGAGTGATGGTCAGTTTATGATGGTCCGTTGGTCCGTTGGTCCGTTGGTCAGCTGTGGTGCAGCCCGCACGTCATGGGACTGATAAGACGACAAACTCAATTCTCGATACAGCTGCCATAAAAACTGACCACTGTCCGCGGCGTACAGGAAATAAAGAAAATTTGCTGCTTGATTGCTGAGCAGCATCGTCCCCAGCCAAGCCCACAGCCAGACAGCCAGCCAGGCAAATCCAATGCCCAACTGTCAATTGTCAATCATGATGATTTCTTTCAGGCGATAATTTAACTACGACATATATATTCCGCATTCTATATACAAATACATATCGATAATGAACATTCATGTGACGTGTAGTTTTTTTTTTTTCAAACTTCTCGCTGGCGTGGCAAAAATCAAATGTGCTAAGCTGATTGCTTGGGGACCTCTATGTGGTTGGGTCTATCTATATATATATATATATGTGTGTGTATGTGTGGCAATGACTAAGGCAAATTTTGTGCTGATGCTGCATGTAATTTCATTGATTAACTTTCCATGCTGATATTCTGCATAATTTCGTGTGCGACAAGTTGTCAAAAATTGGGTTAGGCATGCAACGAGAATGCCCTGGGCGATTGAGGAAAAGTATTTGGGCTTTAAGTATGATATAAGCCATAAGTGAATTGCTCAAGAGATTACTTAAAGCCCGTAGCTTAACTTTATTGATATAACCAAACACGTCTCTAATAAATATATTATTAATATTCGTTTAAGGCAACCTTCTGGTTCTTAGCTAAACGCACTACAATCTGAGCTTTCATCAAACATTGTGGTAAAACCTTAAACAATATTTTTGATCTTGGCTTTTTGTACCTCAACACGCTAAATGGTTAACCCAAATTTGAGTTACTTAACTTTATGTACCCTTATATACTCCTAATTATGACATAGAATAGCCCAAACGATATCACAAAGCCTTCAGAAATATTCGGGCCCTCTCTTCGAACTTATCGGACATTGATTTGATTAGCTGCATTAATGTCCAACATAAAAGAAAACTTGGTTCATATTCGTATGAATAAGTTTATATGCAATGATTAATTTTCGACAACAAAGGAAATGTCATAATAAATCTTTATCAAATGCTGCGGAAAATATGACAAATTATAAGCAAAGTCCAAAGGCATAATAAATCACCAAATCAAATTTGAGTTGAGCCCATGAGAAAATTTGCTTGACAGCAATTAGAAATCATTTAATTGCAGCAACAAAGTCATAAAAAAGAATTTAATTAGCTGCGAAGGGGCGCAGCATCAGTCACGCAATCGTTCATCAATAACAATCATCAAGTCTGATGTTTGGTGAAATTTACATTATTTGGCCATAAATTAATGGACTAATCTTTGGCATAGGGGTAGCCCATTAAATGGAGCCTCAATTTGAATTTGATTGCTTAACGTTTAAGTACGAAGAAATTGAAACACTTTAAAGCTGTGACAGGCCAAAAATCAATAGGCAACAGAAGTTGCCGAATATCAGAATGCAATTTGCTAAACCAACACCTTTCTGGATGTCCCATCTTCCGCTCTCAGTCTGACTCTCAACCTCTCTCTATCCCTGGCTGATTTTGAACAAAATTTCGTTGCTTTTGGCAAAAACCATATTTCATTCGCTGCCAGTCAAATCGGACAAGCTAACAGACAGATGGACAAACAGTCAGAGCCGGCCATCAGCGCCAGCCCAAACTGTGGGATAACTGGGAATAACTTCCAATAAAACATACAAAGATAGGAACGCACTGTGCACACCCGTATAGATACGAGCGACTACCCATGCTTACATACAAGCCGACCCACAACACCCATCCAAAAGTAATTTAACTCCACTTCAAAACTCCAACCGAACTCCAAATACGTGGCAAGCAGCGGCGCTTGGCTGCTGTCACTGATTTTCCGCTTCATATTTTTACATATAACATATATATATATATATATATCTGTATATACACGATAAAGGAGTATATATCCAATGCCTCTAGAGAGACTGAAACAGTCGGGAGCTGAGCTGAGCAAAAAGTCGAGATAAATTGTGTTTATTTTTGTATATACCAGATATAATATAAAGGCGGCAGGCTGGGACAGATTTTCGTTGAATGCCGCACATGTATGTAAATTTATTTATTTTTCATCTTTTTCTTCCTTTTGCTCCAACCAAATGAGGCAAGGCTGGGAATATTCTTTTTCTTTAGGTGGCCTGTGTCTGGCCCATGTTATCTGCGTGCGGGATTTGTAGTTGACGTGAAAATTGTCAAAGGGCGCTTAAAGTCTTTGGCTTGCCTGTTGTTCTTGTTCAAATTAAAGAAAATGTTATTTTTAGGCTTGACAGCCAAAGGATTGAAGTTGGGATTTGCTCTACATAGCACCTCAAAGTGAGGGGTTGGTGTTGGGGTTGCATTTGACATGCTAATGGTTTGTTGGGGTGCCAAGGAAAATGCAGTGAAAATTGCCAAGAGACGCCCTCGTATACAATTACCGAGTTGTAGGTTCTCACGCCTGACACATAATTTACAGGAGCGACAAGACGAGAAAAATGAATAAAATGTCTAGAGGGAGTTTTTAAAATGGGACAAATTGTGATTTATTAAAAAAACTTGTAATGTGTCACCTAGCTCGGTGCTCTGGAAAACATGTATTACTAGAAGCTAACCCGTTCCCAAGTCTGAAACATTAGTTTATTTCTTTATATATAAATAGAAATGTAAATATGAGTATTCACTTACCCAGAAATTCACATATTCATGCATGATTTTTATATTGCCATCTATTAGTGGGAAGAAGAGTCTTAGACAAATCCACACACTGAAAGAAAAAGTTTGTAATGTTAAGTACATGAGAATCGCATAGTAAGGCCATATTTAAGGAGAGTTTGTTTTTTGAACTACAGGGCAAAATATTAAGTAATGTACATATGCACAGACAAATGTATTCAGACATACATACATGCACACATACACACATGCGTTCATAAACACATAGTGGACATAGTCCGGCGTTGCCCGGGCCAATTTGCATCTTTATATTTAATAAATTATGATTCCACTAATTTTCCACCGATCTAAACATTTCTTTTTCAATAAAAAATTATTAAGTTAATAATTTCAAGAGAAATTTTATCTATAACTTAAAATCTCTCAATAATAATATTTCAAATTTTTATAGAGATCATATAAGTGATTGCCGAGTTATGAATAGGTATTGTTGTCCTACCACACAGAGCATTAGCATTTCCCTGTCCTGTGTGCTACTCAGCAAGTGTATCCAGTGCACACATTCACATTTCGCTGATTCCGATGTCTTGCTTTTATGAGTACTTTCAACATTCCGCACGCCCCACGCCAACACGCACTTGTTTTATCGTTTGTACTATCACATTCCTTTCTTTCATAACAATGGGGCCAGTCGGGCGTCCAGCACATTTCGGTGATTTACATTGATAAAGTTAATGGAATGGAATGCGTGTGCGCTTGCTGACTCGACTTCAATTCCGATTCTCGACTGCGGCTGCGACTATGATTCCGGCTTCGAGTGCGGAGCATGTGCAGAAATTTGCATTTCTTGCCAACGTCACACGCCAAACGGAAGTTGTATACAAAGAGTTGCACTTAAAAGCTACCCAGAAATGTTCCCATTCATGTCCAGAGCTTGCTTTTTACATGCACACATGCAATTTTTATGGCTTGTAAGCTGGCTGCCATTTCAGACCATCGAAATGGTACTCTTAAAAGCTACCCCCTTGCCTAGTTAAGCAGACCCAATGCCAGCCAGCCGATATGGCGAAGTGTGATATTTTTAGCGTGGCGTTTCTGTTTTTTTCGGCTACACCAGAAAGGAAATGAAATGCGCCTAATCTAACAAATTTTCGTGCTAATTTAGGTCAAATGCGGATTTGCATAAATTTGCCGGTTACCGTTGCCACCTTATCAAAGTCCATTAGAGGCTCACGGCTCGGCACAATTTATGGTGCCAGTCCAAGAAAAGCAAAAAATATAAAATATTTTCTCGGCATTTAAGTCATACTGACACATGACAAATTCCACATGAAAATGCCGCACCACTCCCGCCTCAGCCAATCCACAACAGGCGCTGCGATGGCAAATGTCATTAGGCTAAACACCCAACACTTGTGCCAAAGCGGTTCGGGAATGGGATCGCCAAATGGAATTTTGTCATAATTGTTGTTGCTGTTGTTGCTTATGTTATTATTATTATTCTTGTTGTTGTTGCTGCTGGTTTTAGTGACATATTTTCGTGCAAAATTTCACGCTCATGCATATTTAAATTGGCCCAAAAACGTATAAGAATTGTTTGTCTCAGCACAACGAAGCGAGAAATACCCTTGAAGATAAAAAATGTATATAAATAAAATCTGCTAAATTATAAAATTCCCCGAAATATTAAATAATTAAATAGTTAAGCTAAGATATTTAGCCAAAGTCTAAGCAATATTTCTGATTTCTAAACTATTTAAATAATTATTTTAGACTTTTCTTTATTATTATTATTTTACTTTTTATTATTTTTTAATATTTTGTATTCATTTTTATTATTTTTTTATTGTTTATTACTGTTTCTTATTTTTTGTTTCTTTATAATCAAACTCTTTTAATGTTTTATCCTGTTTTATTTTGTACTATCAGACGGCCATTTAGCGTTTCTTATTAAAATAAAAAAATTGTTTAATTGCGATTTCAGGTCTTATTTTAAAATATAAATGTTTGCGATTTCATTGCGCCACATACAGTGCAAAATATTGCCTATACCCATTGGGAGGGCATTTTGCTGTCAAAATGGGTTCGCGGTCGTTTGTGCTATCAGCGCAGCTTTCCCATGAAATGCGCTTACTAAATAAGTCCCCTTATTAAATATTACCCTTGGATAGCAAACACGGAATGCTAAAACAGCTGATAGCGCCAGGCTCTTTCATATATGTATGTAGTTTGCACTTTGCAGCTGTCCGGAGCGCACATCAATCAAATGTCATGGAGAATTTAAAGCAAGTATATACTCCTAGTTTTATTATTGGACTCAAATATTTTTGGGCGTGTCCCCTGCCATGCGGACGCGGTGTGGCGCTTGTAAGTGCAGAGTTGCGTGCCGAGACATGCAGCGTACACGCCTTGTTCGCTGCCAACGCCTCGCATCAAAGGTGTAAAAAAGGGCGTGGCCAGTGGCACGAGCCCAGCCGTTGACGCCATGGGGCGTCCAGTCGGCAATTTGCTTTAAATTGTTGCCATTTGTTTCGCATGGCGCTTAGCACAAAGCCAAGTCGCATAATATTTCTTTTGTTTGAACCGTTTTTTCTACGTATGGCACAAATTATGAAAATTGCTATGGGACAAATTGGTGGTATGTGGGGTCAAGGGTGTGGATATAAAGATTGTTATATTTAAATGCACATAAATGATTGGAGCTGGTCATACAAGGCAATTGCTTGGGTGAGGAAATTAGAGCAACCATTTTTCAAAAGATATCCAATTCCCAATGCCTGCCAAGCTAATGAAGCGAAGGTCCTCGCATGTCTCTCGAATATTTAAGTAAAGATTGTTATATTTAAATGCATATAAATAATAGGAGCTAGTCATACAAGGCAATTGCTTGGGGAGAAAATTATAATAAAAATGTATCTAAATTTTCTTTTGAGACCTATCAAGTCTGCATGCCTTTCATATATTGAGGACTATATTTCTTGTCGTTGTACACTATTTTTATACCCTGAACCCATTAAAAATGGGTATAAGGGTATATTGTATTTGTGCAAAATTCAAATGTATGTAACAGGCAGAAGGAAGCACCTCCGACCCCATTATGAATATATATTCTTGATGAGCACCAATAGCCGAGTCGATCTAGCCATGTTCGTCTGTCCTTCCGTCCGTCCGTCTGCACGTATGTATGAACGCAAGGATCTCAGAACCTATAAGAGGTAGAGACTTCAAATAGATGTAGGTGCTCCTAGTGCTCCTAGTTGGAAGAAGAGGGTTCAGGGTATCCCCTAGTCGGGAGCTCCCGACTAGAACCCTTTACTTGTTATGGTTAATAAAATGTAAAAATTAATGAAACCAATAAATTTTCATTGATTAAAGCACATGCTCCACATAAACTATGCTTACAATCACAGTTGAATGCACCCATTTATGAGAAGTTAACCTCGGCTGACCTGGCTCTGGTTTTTGGCTGCTCTGCTGCTCTGCTTGTGACCTACTGTAGGGCTCAAATGCAATTTCCTTTCTCAATTTTTTATGTGCACTTTAAGCGCCTTTTTACATTTCAATTTCCAGTGCAGAAAGGCAACCACCACGTGCCACCTGCGCAGTAAGTATATAAAAATTAATATTTTACAAGTAGCAAAAAATAAAATGTGCTGAAGAATTCGACTGCAGCCGAGACGAGGTCGCTGGCTTTGTTATAATGCCGGGCCAGGAGCTAAAGAAGCTGGAGGAGCTCTGCAGTAGCACTCAGTGCAAATCCAAATGTGTGCTTAAAAATGCATGAGAAGTCAGTGTGCCGGAAAACTGGGAGAAGGCGCCACCAAAATATATATATATATATATAAATGTATGTTCCAGGAGAAGAAGTTTATTTTAATTTAAGTTATAAATTATACGAGTGCCTTTTTAGTTTTGCTTTATTCCCGTTTGGCACGTCCTGGCGCCAGAGACATGAGGCCGCCCACAGCGCGCGACGCTGGGCATTGTCCGAGCCACATTTTTGCAATTGTTCCAAAAACCGCAAACGGACTGGGCTCAGCCATAAAACGCACAACAAACAAATCAGAAAAAGAAAAACAAGTGAAATGAAAATCACATAAATTCAGCCAAGAAAAGTTCTCACGCATCGCCTAAATAGATTTCTAGATTTATATGCACATACACCTGTGGTTAGACTGGGGTCTATGTCTCCGCAATGATCTAACAATAGGAGTTTCCCCTAAAACGTGGGCCAGAGCCGCACGAACAACAATAGACAACAGACACACAGACGTCTCGTGGTGCAGCTTCAGCTGAAGACAAAGAACAAAACAAAACAAAAAAATAATTTCTCATTTTCCATTTCTATTCTCTATTGTAACTCTAGTTATGCGCCGTGGCTGCCACAAGTTGCACGCAGCTTGCTTGGCACTTCTGCTTAAAAATGGGTTTGACATTGTCACAGGTATAAAGTGTTGGGCCACAGGGTCACAAAGGGCCTACGAAACTTGCGTCTATTCGAAAATATCGCGTTAAACACACGTCGATCTTTTGTAAGGATCGTGTTATAAAATTGATTACACGCACATGCCCTGCACACAATGCACGGTGCACAAAGAACCAGCTAAACATTAAATTTATTATATGTTTTCTATGAATATCAAAGCAGAAGAAACATGCTTTAAAAAACTACAACCTTATGTTTCAGCTGAGTTAAAGCGGGTGACGATTTCTGTATTCATTTCTCATGCATTCAAAACTGTGCGTATCTAAACAATCTTAACTGACGCAATTGCCACCTAAAATAATGCTGCGTTTACTCTGCAAATTGCCCGAGACATTATTTAAACTGCATATCACAACTGTTGCGAAATCGTAAACGCCTCCCACTCACATCGACCATAACACCTCCCAAATACATTTACTCGCTTTCTCTACTTTTCGGAGAGCAATTAATCGACAATTTTACAGGCACGAAATATTAGACAAGGGGCGGGCGATGGCTCGTTTGGTTGGCAGTATGTGACTATAACTATGGCAGGTTGTTAACTCTGACAACACATTTGGACAAATCCGTTTTCAGTCTAAGGACAACAACAAACAGCTTG